AGCTCTTTATTTGTCTTCTAGTAGCCTTGTGCAAGAAATTCGTGCACATTAAAAGGGAATTAATTGCCCTAACCAGTTCGGCTCAGTGGATAGAGCATCGGCCTGTGGACTCAAGGGTCCCAGGTTCGATTCCAGTCAAGGGCATGTACCTTGGTTGCGGGCACATCCCCAGTGGGGAGTGTGCAGGAGGCAGCTGATCGATGTTTCTCTCTCATTGATGTTTCTAACTCTCTATCCCTCTCCCTTCCTCTCTGTAAAAAATCAATAAAATATATATATTTTTAAAAAGGGAATTATTTAGCAGAGATATTTTAATATTGCTATTTGCCCTTTCTGTATAATAGAAGTGTGAGAGATGAAAGGAAATTAGTAAAATGTATATGAAAATAATATATAAATTTATTAATAAACAAACAGTAACAAAAGGATATAACAACAACAGGCATGATATAAAAACGACAAAAACATGATATGAAAACAACAAAAACATGATATGAAAACAACAAAAACATGATATAAAAACAACAGTGATGCAAATGACTGATAAAGTGATTAAACTTATTCTAATGTCTCCCTGTACACCATATTAAGAGTGAAAACACTTTCAGAGTGCTTGACTAATTTCCCTTGTGATGAAGTACTTAGAACTTTAACTGTAACATCACATGCTCTTCAAACTCGAGAGAAAGCAACATATAACTGACCATGTGCAAAAACGGGTTCAGGTAGGAATATGCCTACTTTGTCTAGAGTTTGTCCTTGTGATTTATTAATAGTCATCACAAATGCTGGCATCACGGGAAACCGTTGTCGAATCAATTTAAATGGGAGGCCAGTGTCAGATGGGGACAAATTAATTCTTGGAATCAGAACAGCCTCTCCCTCTGCAGATCCTGTTAATACTTCAACTTCGATAATGTTAGGTCATAATCTTTTGATAATAAATCTGATACCATTACAAAGACCCCATTTACTATTGAGATTTCTCAATAGCATGATGATTGCACCCACTTTCAATTTTAATTTATGACACAGCATTCCCAAAGGAGTAATACTATTAAAGAAATTCGATGGGAAAATTTTCCTTTTCCACATCATCTGTGGAATCAATGGAATCATCACTCAAATATGTGTGAAAATCTCCATCGAGTATATCCAAATTTTCTTCATTTAATTTTTGAACACACTCAGTTTTTGGACAAAGAATTGCACATTTAGCTAATTTTTAATATTATCTATAGCAATGGTTCTCAACTTTGGCTGCACATTAGAATCACCTGGGAATCTTTTTAAAATCCTGATTCCTGGGCCTCATCCTCTGGAAATTGTTTCTTTGTTATGGGGTGGGGCCACAACATTAGTAACAAAGAAACGGAATTAAAACTTTATTGCGGGGAGCTGCTACAGTATTTTGGACAGGTTCACGCCTTGGACTGATGAGAGGGCACAGTCCTCTCATTGCCACGTGCAAGTCCCAGCTTGGAGGGCAGGGCCCTCCCAGCGCAATTATAGCCAACAGCTGTAGTTGTAAGCTTGAACCTATGGTCCAAACACATGCCTGAGTGATGTAGGCTTGATAGAGTTTAGGTGCATGTAGTTGAGTAGATTGAAACCCAGGAGAATGTTGTAAACATCTTGGTTACGCCCTTACTTTGCCTCATGGCAGATCTGCTATAAAATAAAGACACGGCTGTGGGCATGGTTGCTGTCTCTCAGAGAAGCAGCGTCCCACCGAGACCCAGATTTCATTCTCTGTCTTTTCTAAGCCTTTCAGCTGCCCCTACTCAGGTTCACCCTTGGCCGTGCTGGCACGGCACAGTTCATAAAGATATGCTTCCACGCTCCCAGGGTAGGTTCCTGCCTCAAACCCCGCCCTTACAGGAAACAGCTTTTGGGGGAGGGCGTAGCTGTTGCCCAGACAACCCCTGCAGGGCTGACTGCCTTCCGCTTGGTTGTGGAGGTTCTGGACATGATGAACACCACCCAGGGTTTTTATAAAAGTAGATCCTTTATTTTTTAAGTTATTTTTATTGATTTCAGAGAAGAAGAAAGAGGGAGAGAGAGAGAAAGAGATAGAAACATCAATGATGGGAGAGAATCACTGATTGGCTGCCTCCTGCACACCCCTCCTGGGGACTGAGCTTGCAACCTGGTCCTGTTCCCTTGACCAGAATCAAACCCAGGACCCTTCAGTCCACAGGCTGACGCTCTATCCACTGAGCCAAACCCACTAGGGCTTGACTATCTATTTTGAATGATAGCCTTGCTGGATATAGTAATATTGGTTTCAGATTCTTGCTTTCCATTAACTTGAGTACTTCATGCCATTCCCTTCTGGTCTGTAGAGTTTCTGATGAGAAATCGGGTGTTAGCCTATGGGAGTTCCTTTGTAGGTAACAGTTTTCTTTTCTCTTGCTGCCTTTAAGATTCTCTCTTTGTCTTTAATTTTTGGCATTTTAATTATGATGTGTCTGGGCATGGGCCTGTTTGGATTTTTTTTTGCTTGGGGTTCTCTGTGCCTCCTGAACTTGTGTGACTTTTTCCTTTACCAGGTTAGAGAAGTTCTGCCATTATTTCTTCAAACACGTTTCTCTATCTCTTTCTCCCTTTCTGCCTCTTCTGGCACACCTGCTATTCAAATATTATTATGTTTCACATTGTCCTCCAGCTCCCTTAAGCTGCCCTGTTTTTTTTAATTGTTTTTTCTTTTTGGTTCTCTGAGTGGTTTTTTTCAACCCTGTCTTCTTATTCACTGGTTCGATCCTCAACTTCCCCTAATCTGCTGTGTAGTCTTTCCAATGTGTTCTTTGTGCTATGTCATTCTTTATTTCTGTTTTCCTAATTACTATATGTTTTCTCATGTTGTTGAGCATCTTTACCATCATTATTCTGAACTAGATAAATTTTTTATCTCCATTTCATTTTTCTCTTCTTCTGGAGCATTCTCTTGTTCTTTCATTTGGGGATTGTTTCTTTGTCTCATTTTGGCTGCCTGTTTGGGTTTGTGACTCTGTATAGGTAGATTTGCTAAGCCCCTCAATCTCTAGTTCTGAACAGTGTCAAACTGTTTCTGACTAATTAGATCAAGCAGAGACTCAGATCCTCCAGAGACCACCCATTAAGAGACTGGGTCTCAGGAACTCCACACTGTGCTGAGCTAGCTCAGCCAAGGGTTCCGCAAGCCTGAGGGAGGGCGGTGAAGGATGAAGAAATGGCAGACAGAGAATAAGCTGGGTCTAGGTGGATCTTTCTGTGGCCTCAGGTGGCTCTTCCTGTGCCATTTGAGGCCACAGAGAGAGATCCAGAGGCAAGCTGAGCCTTTATTTTATAGCCAGAGGTAAACAGGGTAGTGGTCACCATAGTTACAATGTTCTTGTCAGTTTCACTTGTTTTAGCAGCACTTGCTGCACCCCCCACAGCCCACTAGTTACCCAGATAAGATCTAGGGAGCTCATAACGTCAAGCCTAATTATGCTGAGAGGACTGTGCTCTCTAAGCTGGGACTTGTTTGTGGCTTTGCCAACAGGTCAGTCCCAGGCTTAACCCTATAGCCGTGCCCTACACACACCTTGGGGCGAGTTGTTTTCCAATAGGGTGGGTCAGCTATCTTCCCCCCGGGCAAAGTTGCCAGTATAGCAAATGTCTGTGTGACAAAGATGACCTCTGCTGTGTGAGGGAATGACTCAGCACAGGAAACTGGGGTGTCTGCCTTCTGAGCTCTAACCCCAGAGCCCCCGTTCCTGGCTCCTGCTCACACAGCTCCAATCCACTCTGCCCTCCCTCTGCTGGAGCATAAGGTGAGTGGGTGCGTTGGTCCTTTAAGAGGGTGTGTGAATTTCCACCTCTCTGTCCCTGGAAGATAAGCAACCCTGCTGCTTTTCACAGCCAGATGTTTTGTGGGTACCCTTCTCAGTTCTAATGTTCTCTGCTGGAGGGCCTAGCTTGGAGATTAGCTCCCACAGTTCTCAGTGGCAACCCCCCTCAGCTGAGATCTCTCTCTGAGACTTCAGTTGCTGTCTGTGGACACCCAGCCAGCCCTTTCACACCTCCGCCCCTCCTACCAGTCTCTATGCGGTCTCCACTTTTGGTCCTCAGGTATCAGGATTCTCTCCTGCAAGTTTTCCGTTGATTAATCAGAAAGTTTTTCTGTATTATAGTTGTAATTCCAGTTTGGTCCTGGGAACAGCATCCACTTACTCAGCCGCCATTTTTAATATCCTATTTAATTTAAATTTAAATAGTTACACATGAGTGGACAACACAGGTTTAGACAATTTTCAAATATTTGTGGAGGGTTTAGTAATTTATCCTAAAAGTATTAGTGACTAGCTACCATGTCCCAAGCAAGGTTGTTGCAGGGATACCCTGGAGAGATATGATGATGAGGTTGCTGTCCTAATGGAGCTTACTATCTAGTGAATTAAACAGACATTCTTTAAATAATCACAGAAGTAACTATCATGTTACTCAGTGCTTATGAGAAATAGTAAGTTGTGCTAGAGAGGTTATATTCATGAGACTCAGTGAAGGCTTTTGGGAGGAAGATAGTTAAGCTGAGATAAATGGGATAAACAGTAAAGAAGAGAATGCTTGAGGCAAATGGAACAGCTTATTCAAAGACCTGGTGGTGGGAGGGACCATGACATTTTTTTTAGAAACTGCATGAAGGTCAGTTTTGGCTGAAGTCAAAGTAGCAGAGAGAGGAACTACTTTTAGAAGAACAGCAGGCTTTGCCATGCACCATGCTTACCTCTTGGAGCTCAAAGTCTAATGAAACATTGTCCTATGCAAGAGGGCTTACAGTGTAGTGACCGAGACAGGGAAACAGGTAAGTGGAATATAGACACCCTAATAGATGTCTGTACGGGTGCTGTGTGTGTGCGGCGAGGGCACAGAGGGGGTGCGTGGGGGAGAATTACAGAGAATGATGGATTGGTTAAAAAACAAAAACATTGGGAAAGAGGTTTTAAAATATACTAAATAAACTTTTTTTTTTTAAGTTGTAATTTCTGATGAAAACACTCGGAAGAAGTATGAAGTGTCTGGACATTTTCCATTAACGGGTCCTTGGTGGCGAGTGAAGGTACAAGTAAAGCCTGCAGGATCAAGGAACTATCAAGTTCAAGGATTTCCATCGTACTTTTTACAGTCCAATATGTCACCACCAGATCAAAAAAATATCTGTTCCCTCTTTCTTACGGACTGTAATGCCCCCAGTGACACTATAACTAAATTTTTAGCTTGGGTAAATGCAACATTAGGCTATGAAAATCTCAACTTTGAAAATCTTTGGGAAACGTTGAGAACTTTTGAGAAGGAAAATATGAAGAATGGTAAAAAACAATCTACACAGCAAGAGTCCCAACCAGATAACCAGATGTGGCGTTCTGTGGAAAAAACAAGTGGGTGTGACTTTTATTATCGAGTTTAGTGTAATTGAGATACTTACTGACTTAGGTCTTTTAAATATTGCCACAATGGTATCTTGGCATAGTACCTTAATTTTTTTTTTAATTAATCTTCACCTGAGGTTATGTTTAGAGAAGTCGCGAGGGGGTGGGGAAGGGAGGGAGGGAGGGAGGGAGGAAGGGAGGGAGGGAGGGAGGGAGGGAGAGAGAGAGAGAGAGAGAGAGAGAGAGAGAGAGAGAGAGGAGAGAGGAGAGAGAGATCGAACCTGAAACCTAGATATGTACCCTGACCGATTCAAACCCAAAACTTTTTGGTTTACGAGATGATGCTCCAGCCAACTAAGCCACCCAGCCAGGGCCATAGTATTCTTTTTTAAATTGGTTTGATGAAAATGTGTTTATATTGCTTTTGAAGTATGTCATTGACATTCCAGGTTCCTCATCTTTAATATGAAGAGACTGAGTCCTAGCTGGTTTGGCTCAGTGGATAGGGTGTCGGCCTGTGGACCGAAGGGGCCCAGGTTTGATTCCATTCAACGGCACATACTTGGGTTGTGGGCTCGATCCCCTATAGGGGGTGTGCAGGAGGCAGCCAATCAATGATCCTCTCTTATCATTGATGTTTCTCTCTCTCCCTCTCCCTTCCTCTCTGGGAAAAAAAAAAAAAAAAAAATACATATATATATATATATATATATATATATATATATATAAATATATTTTTATATGAAGATATTGGGTGAGATGATCTTTGGCAGAACACCATCATATGACTTCAATGACAAAAGGATCACAGTTGCAATGAAATTGATTAAGGTTAATATGTGTATTATTTTTATATTTAGCTTTGATTTTATCTTTATGTCATTGAGTCAAGAATTTTATTCTAATTATTTCCAAGCAAAATGAAACAAAAGACTAGGAAGTTACCTAAGCATTTAAAGGATATAAATTTAATACAGTGAAAACCATCTCAGTACAAATAGATTGTTATAATATGAGTTTTCTTGCTGGTTAAAGTAAATTTATTAATCTCTCTTTGATTTGTATTTCTTGAGCTGGGGTACTAAATAAGAAAATCCATCAAATTGGTTGTTCTGTGAGCTCATTTGTATGTTTTGATTTGTTCTTTTTGGTATCCTGCAGTTCCATTTAGAAGTGTAATGACAGCGTTGAAGTTTCCAAAAATAATGGAATTTCTTCCAGTTCTTCTGCCTCGACACTTTAAGCAGCTCATAAGCTCGTGTCCTAACGAGGTGTTGAGAAACATGGAAGAGATTTTAGGTACACATCCATGGAAGCTTGGATTTAGTAAAGTAAGTAAAACATTTGCTTAGAATTTAGTAATCTTATATAAGGCAAGATTTCTCAAACGTGACAATTTTTATCTCTTTCAAAGGAAAAAAATTGTATCGATCTCAATGTTGATGTATTTTTCTCTTTTAAAAAAATGATTTTATTGATTTCAGAGAGAGGATGAAAGAGGGAGAGATAGAAACATCAATGATGAGAAAGAATCATTGATTGATCAACTACCTCTTGCACATACACTCCCCGTCCCTCACTGGGGATCAAGCCTGCAACCCAGGCATGTGCCCTGACAGGGAATCGAACCGTGACCTCCTGGTTCATGGATTGATGCTCAACCACTGAGACACACCAGCCAGGCTAATATATGTTTCTTTGATTGTTACAAATTAAATATAAACTTACTTTTTTTTTTTTTTTTTTTTTAGTGGGGGGAGAGGGGGAGGAGATCTAAATATAAACTTTTAAAAAATATCCTCATCTGAGAATATGTGTGTGTAGTTTTTTTGTTTGTTTGTTTTTTATTGATGAGAGAGAGACAGAGAGACAGAGAGACATCAATGTGAGAGAGCAATATTGGTTGTGTCCCATACCTTCCATGACTGGAAATCAAATTCACAACCTAGGTATGTGCCCTGGCTGGGAATTGAATTCACAACTTTTTGGTGTATGGGACAATGCTCCAACCATCTGAGCCATATGGCCAGGGACTAAATAGAAAGTTTTTGTGCTTCTAGCTCTTATGCAATAAATATATAAGGGAAAACAAAACAACGAAATAAATGCCAGTCACATTATTAATAATTTAGTTATATAATTTAATTTAATATGGCAAACATTTTTTGCTAACTTAATTGACATTTGCAACTTGAGTATAGATTTCATTGAAGACACAAGTTCTTTGAGTTTGGCAAATGCATTCTGCAGTGCAACTCAATCCTGTACTTTCCTATTAGAACTTTTAAGAACTTTCACTGCTCATATCGGATAGCATGATTAATTCAGATTTTTAAAGTTATTACAACAATATTATTTATGAACGACTACACTTTTGTTATTATTAGACATCAAGGGGCTCCAGTGGCATTGGAAACCAAACGTGGCACTGAAATTTTGGCCGTCCTTGGTTAAAGGTGGTTTTCCAAATGGAAGTACAATTTAAAAATTCTAATGTAATTTTTGGGTCCCCACGAATGTGTACAGACACCCTCCCCATCCTGTTTGAGAAATACAAGAAGAATGAATTTGCCGAAACCGGTTTGGCTCAGTGGATAGAGCTTCGGCCTGCAGACTGAAGGGTCCCAGGTTCGATTCCGGTCAAGGGCATGTACCTGGGTTGCGGGCATATCCCCAGTGGGAGATGTGCAGGAGGCAGCTGATCGATGTTTCTCTCTCATCGATGTTTCTAACTCTCTATCTCTCTCCCTTCTTCTCTGTAAAAAATCAATAAAATATATTTAAAAAAAAAAAAAAAAGAATGAATTTGTTTTCTACGTAAAATGACTGGTTTCTGTATGCTTTGAAAAATAAGATCCTGGGATGTTAGATTATTATATATATTTATTCAGTAGAGAAGCAATCAGAGCAGTGAACATTCTGGGACTCAAGTGGGAAAAGGAGGCTTGAAGTTTCACTGTTGACCATCCAGAATAAAGACTTGTACTGAGGTATTGTATTAATTTGCTAGGACTGCTCTAACAAACACCATAGACTGGGTGACTTATACAACAGAAATTTATTTTCTCACAGTTCTGGAGGCTACAAGTTCAAAATCAAGGTGTCAACAAGGTCGATTTCTTCAGAGGTCTCTCTCCTTGACTTACAGTCTTCTTGCTATGTTTTCACACGGTCCTCTCTCTATAGAGAGAGTTGTCTGTGTCCTAATTTCATAAATCACATTGGATTAGGGCCCTCCCCAGTGGCCTCATTTTAACTTAATTACCTCTTTAAGGACCCTTTCCCCAAATATGGTCACATTCTGAGGTACTAGTCCTTAGGATTTCAACATATGAATTGGAGGTACAATTCAGTCCATAAACATGTGTATGAGGCTCCATGAAAAAAAAAAGATGGAGCTGGTGGAAGACCCGCTAAGTGGATCCTGACAAGGAAGTTCCTTACCTCTTTTGTAGCCTTTGGGCAGAATTGTTCATAAGCACAAAGGAAACTAAAGAAGCCAAGTAACCTGGCTGGTATGGCTCAGTGGTTGAGTGTCGACCTAGGATCCAGGAGGTCACAATCTGATTCCCGGTCAGGGCACATGCCCGGGTTGTGGGCTCAATCCCCAGTGTAGGGCATGCAGGAAGCATTCAGTCAGTGATTCTCTCATCATTGATGTTTCTCTCCCTCTCTCTTCCTTTCTGAAATCAATAAAAATATATTAAAAAAAACAAGAAAAAAAAACAAGGAAATGAGATAGTCATTAACTTCATGGAACACACAGAGTTTATTATAAAGCTAAGGAACATAATCATGGGACATCAAGTTGCTTATCTGAATCCTATTTACACTGATTGAACCCAAATCGATTAACAAAATGTATACTGTAACTTTTTTCAAAAATGAGAAGGGGAGAAGCATATATGGAGGTGATAGTATAAAAGAGAGAGATCTTCTGTAGAGAAAGACTTTCCATAATAGGGAGTTAATATGAGGGAGAGGGAGGTACGAAAGGATAAAGAGGGTCAAATATATGATGATGGAAGATTGGACTTTAAGTGATAGACACACTATATAATATATAGATGATGTATTATAGAATTATAGACCTGAAACTTATATAATTAACCAATATTACCCCAATAAATTTAATTTAAAAATATCTAAAATTTAAAATAAAATTAAGGAATAGCATATTCCTTAACACTAGATTGCCCAAGGAAGTCATTTTGACTGCTTTTTAATTTCAATTAGAAAAACAATTATGTATATAAGGACACAATGTCTTAGAATTTTGTGACTTTTTGTACAACGTATAAATGCGTTTATTAATAATTGTAGTTACCTCCCCCTCCTTCATTTCCGGTATATATATATGTGTTATACCTATATTGCCCAAAAGCAGTCATTTTGACTGCTTGGGAAATTTTAGACTCTTATTATTGAATTGAGTAAATTTCTTATATGACCAGTTCGGCTCTGCATTGAAATAACAGTTTTCATTTTTTTTCGATTACTGTCACATGATAACATACAAGTACATGATAAATTGTCGACACTTGATAAGTTGCAGTTGCTCAATAAGCTAAACTAGTACTTGTTATTCGAATCTTTATGCAGTGATACTTGTTCTAATAAGTTGTTTATTTTATTTCTTTTGCGCCCTAAATTCATGAAAGAAATGTCGAACAGAAGTGAGTTATTGGAAAAGCTAAGGAACATAAGTGAAGAGTGCTCCGATATTATTCTTTCACAATGCAGTCATTTTGACTGCTTTTGGGCAATATAGGTATATACTAAGTTTCAGTCTTTCTAGTGTTAATATACTATACTTTGAGAAAATATAATTTTAATTTAAAAATTATATAGAGCTCTAATCACAGGATAGTCAATAAAAAATTAGTGATGTATTAGAGTTGTTTCCTCCAAATTTAGTTGAAATACATGTCTCTGGGACTTAAAAAATTATTAACACATAACATTGTTTTTACTGTAATTTTTTTTTTTTAAATATATTTTATTGATTTTTTACAGAGAGGAAGGGAGAGAGATAGTTAGAAACATCGATGAGAGAGAAACATCGATCAGCTGCCTCCTGCACATCCCCCACTGGGGAAGTGCCCGCAACCCAGGTACACGCCCTTGACCGGAATCGAACCTGGGACCCTTCAGTCCGCAGGCCGACGCTCTATCCGCTGAGCCAAACCGGCTTTGGCTTTTACTGTAATTTTAATAATACTCATGACCATGTACAATTTTTATAAAGCAGCTTGAACTTTATTTTCTTAAAGGTCACCTACAGAGAGCTGAAGCTTTTGCAATGTGAGGCAAGTTGGACAGCATTTTGTCAGTTTCCGTCTCTCCTCCTCCTGATGACTGATGTGCAGAAGAATGGGTTGATAGTATATTCTAAGCTGAAGCAGCTGTGTAGAGAGCATGGGCACACATATGTGGAAGGACCTGACTTGACTTCTCAGTTGTCAAACCAGATGTCTTTTCATGATGTTTGGGAGTGTCTGAAGTTTTTGAACGATATCCATGTGGTGACCTATAAGAAGGGCTGTGTCTTTCTTTATAACCTTTACCAGGCTGAGAAAGGCATTGCCTCTTCTATAGGTGACCTGATGAAGAGGCCTCCGTGGTGTTTTCATGTCGATGTGAAAAAGGTGCTTGCGTCTATTCGTACCAAAAAACCTGAGAATTCAAGAAGGGGTGATCCATTGAACGAAAGTAAACCTGATGAAACATTAGAAACTTCTGAGGCCAACACACAGGACAGTGGGGACCATATTTGTGATCATGGTGAAGATGAAGGTAATGCAGAAATACCTGACGATCAACTGGACCAGGACCAGGTGGCTGCCTTGGAGATGGTCTGCTCCAATGCTGTGACAGTCATCAGTGGGAAAGGCGGTTGTGGGAAGACCACAATTGTTAGCCATCTTTTTAGGCATAGAGAGCTGTTGGAAAAAAGGGAAGTAAAGAAAGCTTGTGAAGACTTTGAACAAGACCAGGATGTACCAGAAGAGTGGATTACCTATACCGAGCAAAGTCTGCCAAAGGCAGACAAGGGTATAGAAGTTTTACTTACGGCACCTACAGGGAAGGCTGCTGGCTTACTGAGACAGAAGACTGGTTTTCACGCTTATACACTGTGTCAGGTAAAACCTTTTCTATTTCTTCTCAATAGGAAACATTTGCCTTAAAGACAGACCTTATTTAATTAATTTAGTTTTCATTTCTTCATGACGACGTGTGGGAAATATGAATGCTTTTGCTGAATATACACGTTGACTCTAGCTACAGTAGAAAACTTAAATAAATTAGTAGTTACAAAATAATGACAAGGATGTAAAGTACAGCCTGGGGGACATAGTCAGTAATATTGTAATATTATGGTGCCAGGCAGGTACTTGAAATATCGGGGCAACACTTTGTAAAGTACATGACTGTCTAACTACTAGGCCAGTGATGACGAACCTTTTGAGCTCGGCTTGTCAGCATTTTGAAAAACCCTATCTTAACTCTGGTGCCATGTCACATATAGAAATTTTTTGATATTTGTAACCATAGTAAAACAGATTTATATTTTTGATATTTATTTTATATATTTAAATGCCATTTAACAAAGAAAAATCAACCAAAAAAATGAGTTCGCATGTCACCTCTGACATGCGTGTCATAGGTTCGCCATCACTGCACTAGACTATACACCTGAAACTAATACAGAATAATATCGAATGTAAACTGTAGTTGAAAATAAAATTTTAAAAATTACGTGTTACCATTTAAGAATCCTGTGTATACAATATATGTGTACTTATAATATAGAAGTGTTTCTGGAATGATAGAGACCAACCTATTTAAGATGATCTGGCTGCAATGTTACAAATATTTACTCATCTATATTTTTAAAATAGTGAATATTATTACCTCTGTAATAAATCATTTTTAGTTGTTGGGTTTTTTGTTTGTTTGTTTGTTTGTTTGTTTTAATGTGAAGAAGAAGTACGTATTAGGCTGGGAAGACAGCACTTTATTTGGGATGGAGTGTTATGGTTGGGAGAAGAGGAGGACCTAAGTGATTGGGTAGCTCAGACCGGGAGAAGGCTTATTTGGGAATGGAAAAGGCTATAGAGAGCTCTCCCTGGTCAAAAGTAATAAGGGGAGGGTTGAAATTTTTGCAGCGGGATAGTGACATATACAAAGCCTGTTCAACACACTAAGTAGTCATTAGGAAGCACTTTTTTAAATTATTAGATCTTTTTTTTGTTTTTAGATTTATTTGCTCTATCTATTCACCTCTATAACTTTTGTGTTCTCTATTTCTTTAGCCTTTTTCCTATGTTACTCTACTTACACGCATTACCCACCGCCTCCAATTTAAGAATTTTGTTTTCAAATAACATGTTTCAAAAAAAAAATATTTTGGGTAAATTTTATAACCTGAACTTAAAAGTGCAATACTTTACTTGTAGGTCAGTTACAGCTTCTATTTTTGGAAGAAAACAATGGACAAGGAGAACAGCGAGAATAATAGTCCATGGAGATTTTCTTCAGTGAGAGTTCTGGTTGTGGATGAAGGGAGTTTGGTATCTGTAGTAATCTTCAAATCTGTTTTAAATTTATTGCTTGAGCACTCCAATCTTTCTAAGCTTATTATCCTTGGTAAGTTAAAATATTGTTGGAATTCTAATTGTTCAGTTCACAGCATTGTGGTTAAGTGGCGGTTTATACAATTCACTGCTTTAATATCCATATCCTACAATTGGGAAGGCATTCGTCAAAGCCCATACTGAAGCTGCACTGAGTTCAACTTGACCACTCTCTTTAGCAGTTTGGGAGGCTCTTTGTTTTGGCCAGGAAATTGGCAGGCTAGGATATGAATGAAATAGAGATGTGAGGGGTCACTGCTGATCACCTAAATGATAGCTATAAAAATGGTAGAAATGTCACAGATCCAAAGTAAATAAGGATATCGATTTATTTGGAAATAATAAAATGTCTGAAGTATAGACCTCTTAAAAATAATTTTATGATTTTAAGCTAATAGCGCAAATTAGACCTCACCAACCTCTTAAGTCCTTTTCAATTCTGGTGAGATTCAGTTAGGTTCTATTGGGAATATTGTTCTGTAGACGGTATGATTTAATGGAAAAAGAAATAGAATTGTAGTGTGAGAATCAAATTCTGTATAAGTAATTTTTTTGGATATTTGAGGATATTTTATAAACAGTTGATTCTATTAAAGGTTTAAGCATTCTCCTATCTTTCACCTAGAAAGTAGTTTTTCTTATCTTTATGGTTGATTGGATTTGTTTAAAGTAAAAATGTTTTTAATAGAGCAAAATATTATCATTACATTACTAGAATTTATCTGTTAGCAAATGCATTTGGTTTGTTTATTTTGTATTTTATCTGTTTATTTTATTCATTTGAGGCCATAGATTCTTTCATGTTTAGTAAGACATTGAGCAAGATTGAATAAGTACCTGCTATCTCAGGCCTGTGTTTTTCTTCACATGTTGGCCAAAATATATGTCTTTACACAGTTGGCCTGTGGTTATAGGTAGGAAAGAAGTTTGACTCAGATTTTACCTTGTTGAGTTATTGCTATTTTATCCTAATTGTTTAATCTGGATGGTATTTTTGTGTGTGAAAAATTTTAAAAGACTTGTTCTCAAGTCATTTTAAACAAAGATTTTTGGGGAAGGGTTTTTTTTTTTTTTTTTTTTTTTTTCTCAGAGTAAGTCTATATAATTGTGGCATATATCAGTAGGGCGAAATAAAAATAATTCCTAAATTTCAGAACCATGGTTACCTAAAACCTATATCTATTCCCACCCCCACTTTAGGTGATATTAGACAGTTACCCAGCATTGAACCTGGCAACTTACTGCAAGATCTTTTTGATACTCTTAAGTCAAGGAATTGTGCTATTGAACTAAAGACAAACCATAGAACAGAATCTGAGCTAATTGTGGACAATGCTACAAGGTATAATATAACTAACATTTTCCATTTTCTCTTTCTTGTGTTAAAAATAAAAGGTTAAAAAAATACATATTAGCTTTTATTTTTTGGTTTGTTAATCCTCACCCAAGGATACTTTTTCCATTGATTTTTAGAGAGAGTGGAAGGGAGGGAGAGAGAGAGAAACATCAGTGTGAGAGAGACACATTGATTGGTTGGTTGCGTCCCACCCAGGGATCAAGTCTGCAACTGAGGTACCTGCCCTTGACCGGAATCAGACCCAGGACCCTTCAGTTCATGGGCCCATGCTCTATCCATTGAGCCAAACCAGTTAGGGCCATATTAGCTTTTGAATTAATGACAGTACATTTATTATGCCCTTTTAGCAAACCTATTCTATCTTTCAGATATATACATACTAGGCCCGGTGCATGAAAATTCATGCACTGGAGGGGGGTCCCTCAGCCGAGCCTGCCCCCTCTCACAGTCCGGAGCCCTTGGGTGGGAGGTGACCCGGCGATCAGGGGAAGGAGATGACCCCATCACACCTCTGCTGCTGCCACTGCTGGCAGTGCAAGCCTTGGCCGGCCCTTGTTACCTGAGCCTCGGGTGGCCCTGGACGGCTGGGCAGCTGCCATCTGAGGCTTGTCTGTGTCTCGGGCCAGCCCTGGGTGGCTGGGAAGCCACCATCCAAGGTTTGCCTGTGCCTCAGGCGTTGGCTGGGCAGCCAACATCTGAGGCTTACTTGCTCCTCGGACTGGCCCTGGTGGCTGGGGGGCTGGAGGATTGGGAGACTCTGGAGGCAGGCGCGCTGAGTGGCCAGGCCCGCCTTGGGTGGGCCCAGCTGTGCCGCGCACCTGCTGCCCCAGCAAGGCTGAGGGGACTGGGCATCACCATCTTGTGGCTGTGGTGCCGCCATCTTTGAGGGCGTGACAGTCAATTAGCATATTCCCTCTTTATTGGCTGTGGGCGAGCCATTTTGTGAGGTTGTGACACTCAGTTAGCTTATTCCCTCCTTATTAGATAGGATACCTTTTCCTCCGTAATTAGAAAAACAAAGGTAGTATTTTTCATTACTGGCCCAGTAATAAAATTTAAGAGTGAATGTGATTTCAAAGTGTGTATGTGGATTAAAGTTACATCAGTCTTGACCTGGACAGTCTTTCTCAGTGGTTAGAGTGTTGGCCTGTGGACTATAGGGTCTTGGGTTCAATTCTGGTTAAGCACATATATTTCAGTTGCAGGTTCACTCCCCAGCCCCAGTAGGGGTGCAAGCAGGAGGCAACCAATTAATGTGTCTCAAGCATGTCAATGTTTCTCTCTCTCCCCTCTCTCTCTCCCCCATCCTGTCCTTTCCACTCTCTCTAAAAATCAATGGAAAAAAATATCTTCATCCCTTGGGTGGGGGTTAAAAACAAAAGGTTACATCAGTCTTAGTGACTAGAATGAGCCCAAGGGGGACAGAGACTTAGAAACGAGTTCATTAGAGTTCAAGGGAGACTTTGGGAAAAGATTTCCCATAATTTTTGCAAGAGACCTCAAAGCAAAATAAATGAATATGGCATTTTATTCCTTGATGAATCTTGGTGGCATCCATGGCATAGTCTTCTCCTTAAAGTAGAAAAGAAACCTTATTTTCTCATAGTCTTTGCACAAGTCTTTGGAGTGATCTTCTGTAGTAGATGATATGGGAACTCAGATCGCTAAGAGATGGTTTTATTCATGGGCCAAAATTTATCTTTGTTTTGATGTTCTTTTATTGCTTGAACATTTGATGTTGTTTTATTGCTTGAACATTTCCTTGGTTGGAGATGAGCAGAAACTAGAATATTAAAACCTACTTTTTCCATACCCCTGTCTACCTTGGGTTGGATAGTGGGAGTACAGGGAGAATTGATAGGAAAAGGGTAGATGATGTAGGTTTATATTAAAACACTAGAGGCCTGGTGCACGAAATTTGTGCACTTGGAGGGTGGGGGCGTCTCTCAGCCTGGCCTGCACTCTCTCGCAGTCCAGGAGCCCTTGGGGGATGTCCGACTGACGGCTTAGGCCTGCTCCCTCTGGGAAGTGGGGAGTAGGCCTAAGCCGTCAGTCAGACATCCTTAGCGCTGCTGCTCCGGAGGTGGGAGAGGCTCCCGCCACCACCGCTGCACTTGACATCCATGTGTAGCAGCTTCTGGCTGAGCGCAAGAGTGCACTGACCACCAGGGGACAGCTCCTGCATTGAGCGTCTGCCCCCTGGTGGTCAGTGTGCATAATAGTGACCAGTCGTTCCGCCATTTGGTCAATTTGCATATTAGCCTTTTATTATATAGGATTATGAAAAATATGCAATTGGATGTGTTATATTCTTTTTTTGAATATATTTTTATTGATTTCAGAGAGGAATGGAGAGGGATAGAGAGATAGAAACATAAGTGATGAGAGAAAATCATTGACCAGCTGTCTCCTACACGCCTCCTACTGGGGATTGAGCCCTCAACCTGGGCATGTTAACCAGATTGAACCTGGGACCCTTCAGTCTGTAGGCCGATGCCCTATCCACTGAGCCACACCAGTTAGGGAGGATGTGTAATATTCTTTTCCTATAACATTTCTGCTCATTTTGGGGATGTTGGTCGACGATTGGTCATTTTAAAGTCTAAAAATCTTAGGGGAATCTGAAGCACATTAGATTTCAACTCAGTTTTATCTGAAATTTAGGAATGCCTTTAATTAACCCCTTTAATACCATTTGGGCTGAGCTGTGCTCCTTTCATCATTTCTTTGTAATCATCATCAAATATCTATAATCCCAGTGATACCAGATAGAAATATATTGAGATAGAAATATATTACATGTCCTGGGTCAGAAGCAAAATGGGAAATGCGTGGTGATTTTCAATCCCCCAGAAATTAAATCTGGGATATTTCCAGCAGGGCAGCCTTCTTCCCTCTGCTTTCCTCCTCCCAGCTCTCTTGGGCAGGGTTGAAGATGACACAGTTGGGTACCGTTGCCTTTGGTAGCCAGGCTGGTGTTCAGTCATGAGGGAGTCAGTCATCCTCCAAATAACCAAGGGGAGACTGATGTCAAGGCACCTTCCCCTTTCTCTGTTTTCTGATAGAATTTGCTAGTCTTGGGAAATAGAAGAACTAAAGAGGGATGGGGACGGAATAGAAGGAAAGAGAAGATGTGGATACTTGGTTCAACTGGGAAAATGAGGCCACTCATATATGATATACACAGAAGAAAGGGGAAAAGAAAGAGTAAATGTGAGGATCAGAGTCCAAGGTAATTCAAATAGACAAGGATATGGAGCCAAATAGGCCCAAGGAGGCTGACTAGCTCCCTTGCTTCCTAGCTCTGTGGCCCGGGCAACCCACTGCAGTTGACTAAGTCTCATGTTGCTCACATGTGAAATGAGGCTGTACCTACCTTGAGTGGTTCTTTTGGAGAAACGTAGATTAAGTTCTCAGAATGGCGCTTAGTAAACTCCCTGACAATTTTTTCTAATGCTTTTAATTTGCTAGGGATGGGGATCTGATTGCTAAATGTAACATTATGGTCTTGCCAATTCTATTTAAAAATTCATTTACTATTTATAATGCGTATATGAGAGTAGCCTGTTTGCCCTCTATATCTATGAGCAAATATTGATTATTGTAATGACATTATCTCTGGTTATATATAAAGGTACATTTTTGGATATTAAGGTTCTTGGTGTACCATTTTACCTGTTTTTAAGAATCTCAAAACGCCAATTTCCAAAATTTGATGCGGAGCTGAGTATCTCCGATGATCCAACAATCCCTGTCTCAATACAAGATAAAACGTTTATTTTTGTGAGACTCCCAGAAGAGGATGGCAGTTCTCAGTCATCGAAAAGTAATCACCATTCTCGTAAGTATAAACTGGGTTATGTAGGGTTACATGTTTCAGTATTGTAATATAGTTATTAAAGGACTAGTTAGAATGTTATTTGATGGTAAAGATAAGTATTGCTGGCGAAAAAATATCAGGCACTGAAAAGGAAGGAATTTATTAATCATCAAAAGCAGGTTACCCTAGAATTTTGTAATCTGCAAAGGCAGATTACCCTAGAATTTTAGATTTTTAGACTTTTAGCTGTTGTCACATACATACTAAGAGCTCAATAAATATTTGATGAGAGGATAAATGGATGTAGATGATTAGTTTAAAATAAAAGAAAACAAAGCTCCAGTAATACAAGTTATTCAAGAGAAGGCATGTCTTTTTTTTTTTAATCTTTATTATTGAAAGTATTGCCCCATTGACCCCCTCTATCCCACCTTCATGCGCCCCCACCCCCCGCCCCCTGCCCCAGGCCCTCACCACCCCACAAGAAGGCATGTCTTAATGAAGTTTTTCTTTTGTAGCAGTTGTAAAAGTAAATGCATTTGTTATTTTGATTTATTTGTGAAACAAAAGTAATGGCTGTCGACTGTTGCCAAGTTGAGTCCTAATATTTCTGTCCTATTTCTTATTAAATGGACAAGTATTACTTCTATTTATGGGCATTAGGAGGACACTATGACAGGGTTGAGGAAGAGCATGGGATAGGAAATCTTCACCCTTATTTATGTATATGGTCCATGTCACATCACTTAATGGTTTGTAAAATGGGAATCCTAGAGACAGGGCCTGTGGAGCAGTTGTGAGGGTTGAGGCCATTCATCAGTTTTGAGGCACTACATAAAATTTTAGTGTGTTTTTTTTGGTGAATAATAGATATTAAGTTATTCCAAATGAACTTATTTAAATAGATTAAACCTTTTGATCTTTATTTCTATTATAAACTTACTTAGAAAACTTTTTGTAGTAGTATAATGGCTTCTTCAAAGTTGAATCAGTGAAGATTTAAATGATTATTATTGAGGATTTATTATAGTTGGCACAGTTCTTGAAGGATATTTTCCCTACTTAGCTACTTTCACTTTGTATGTGACATTAAGTGACAGAACTTTACCTTTAAGGCTTTCTTCCTTTGTGTGTGTCACCATGTGTTACAATATTCTGTTTTCTTTTTAATACATAATCTTCTATTAATGCCTTTTGGGTTTTTTTTTTAACTATAGAAATAATTTATAACTTAAAAAAGTCAAATGATACCAAAGTACTTGAAGTAAAAATTAATATTTCCCAGTAATCTTCCTTTTGCCTTTTCCCTCAAGACAACCCCATAAAGGTCACATATATGGTAAGGGCTTGGTGTTTACCCTTTTAAACATCATATCCAAAAACAACATATACTACTTATTTTAGTTTTATATAAATTGGATTATAAGCTGCACACTGTTTTGTAATATTTTTAAATTAAATATATTATGAATAATGAATAGATAGTATTTATTGTCACAACAGCTTAGTTAATATAGGTACTAGTACAGATGAAGAAAATGAGACATAGATGGTTAAGTAACTTGGCCTCTTTGCCACTCCATTTAGATCTACCTAAAATATGGTTAGTTTATTTTTGGTACCCCTTCTTTATATTAATGAAAATGTACTTTGAAAAATTGTCTGTTTCAGAATGGTAGCAAAACTTAACTAATGTTGTTTTTCTATCTTTATTACAAACTTTAGCTGGAAAATTAGTCTTCTCTTTAAGAGAATTGAAAAAATACTCCTTAGGCATACAGAGCTTTTTCATTAATAATTAATTAGGTTGTTGAGTAAATTATTTCCATTATTGCAGAGTACAAAGACCTAAGACAGGCTTCATAGCTGGGTTAGAATGAGGTGATAAAATGTGAGCCAAACACATATCGTAGAACCAATGAAATACGATGTGCATATTGATCTGTGAGATGTAGAGAGAGTGAAATAAGTGAGGAGCAAAGCAGCATGATCCTGTATGTGTAGAAGAGAACTGAACTCTGTGAGACCTTGGCAACTCCTGCTCTGGAAGACCAGGGTTGGCCGGGGTGAGCTGAGTATTGGCTACTTTTTAGTGCTCATCCTCCCTCCATCTGAAAAATGAAGTGTTAGCTCACAGCTAATTTAGTCTTTGTGGAGCAGGGCCTCCCAAGACCTGATTTCTTCATTCTCCTGTGGTTCACCTGCTGAGGGAAAGGCATACAGCTGAAGTGTTCTTACTCAAATTGTTATGTCTTCTCTCTCTCATGAGAGATGTTTGTGTTTTGTAGTATTGCTAAGAGAGCTTAGAGGAAGCCTGCTTCTTAGTGCTCTGAGGAAGGACAAGTTGTAAGTGGATGTTGTCACTGTCAATGATCCGACTCCAGTTTCCATTTGGAAAAGTACCTTTGCTTCCAAAAGCCTCAGTTTCACATTCATAACAAGGATGTAATCAGTGTGGTGATAGTCGAACTAATTACTAGCTGGTAGGGTATAGTCCAGGGGTCCTCAAACTACGGCCCGCGGGCCACATGCAAATACAAATATTGTATTTGTCCCTGTTTTGTTTTTTTACTTCAAAATAAGATATGTGCAGTGTGCATAGGAATTTGTTCATAGTTTTTTTTTAACTATAGTCCGGCCCTCCAACGGTCTGAGGGACAGTGAACTGGCCCCCTGTTTAAAAAGTTTGAGGACCCCTGGTAGTCACTCTGGGAATGGGTGCCCCTGCCGTGCCAGGTTAATTTTTTAGTTGCTGAATCATGGGGAGGTGTGGCAGTGCTGGGGGAGGAAAGACCTGTTTGGAGTGGGAATGGGGCATTATGGAGTTTGAGAGTAACCGTCTTCCAGCCATTTTATCTTAATACTAGTGTCCCGGTGCATGGATCTATGCACATTGAAAGGAAATGAATTAGAAGAAATGTGTGTGTGTGTGTGTGTGTGTGTGTGTGTGTGTGTGTGTGTGTATAAAGGCAGTGACCATGACGACTGAAATGACCGGTTGACCAGTCACCATGTGGTGCTAGCATAGACACAGGTAAAGTCTATGAGTGAACTAAGAATGAACAAGACAAATGCTTGCCTTCACAGAGCTCGCACTATAAGAAGGTTAGGTCAGGGATGAGAATTCAAAATTGCCACCAGCACAGATGTGAGTTGCTGTTTCTCAGAGTGGCCAGAGATACACCCAGTAGCGGACTGGGGTGTGACTGAAGGGCTGGCACTGACATGAAGGCAAGGCCATTCTGGATTTCCCAGAGGAGCCAATGGCTGCCTCGGAGGCGGAGCTTTTGATGCTGACTGGCATAGAAATGTACCAATCAGAACCTAATCTGGGTGAACGGCAAAGGCAGAACCTAAGGTGGGGGCTGAGGAGGGTTTTTTTAAAAAAATATATTTTATTGATTTTTTTACCAAGAGGAAGGGAGAGGGATAGAGAGTTAGAAGCATCGATGAGAGAGAAACATCGATCACCTGCCTCCTGCACACTCTCTACTGGGGATGTGCCCACAACCAAGGTACATGCCCTTGACCGGAATTGAACCTGGGGCCTTTCAGCCCACAGGCCGACGCTCCATCCACTGAGCAAACCGGTTTGGCGAGGAGGGGTTTTAAGGGCAACAGCTGTTTGGTGTAAGGTATAAGAAAGCAGTTCAATTTTTTAATAACGGGTTTGGCAGTATCGTGCATATGGCTGGCTATCAATCCAGATATAGGGATTATGTATTTTTGTCTGCAAGAGCATCTCCTCCTGCTGAAAAAGGCTTTTCCACCCCATTTAAGCAATCCTATCTTATATAATCCATCTATACTAATAAAAGGGTAATATGCTAATTAGACCGGGTTGACTGGCCATCTTCTGGACGTCTGACTTCCTTCCGGACAAAGCCATGGTGGTGAGGGCTGAGGCAGAGGCAGTTAGGGGTGATCAGGCTGGCAGGGGTTGGGGATGATCAGGCTGTCAGGGGAGGGCAGTTGGGGGCGACCAGGCCAGCAGGGGCGGGCAATTAGGGGCGACCAGGCTGGCAGGGGAGAGCAGTTAGCAACCAGGCTGGCAGGGGAGGGCTGTTGGGGGCATTAGGCAGGCAGGCAGTTGAGTGGTTAGGAGCCAGTGGTCCTGGATTGTGAGAGGGATGTCCGATTGCTGGTTTAGGCCCGATCCCAGGGCCTAAACCGGCAGTCGGACATCCCCCAAGGGGTCCCGGATTGGAGAGGGTGCAGGCCGGGCTGAGGGACACCCCCTCTGTGCACAAATTTTGTGCACCAGGCCTCTAGTATTTTAATATTGCTATTCACGTCTTGCTAATGAAAAGAAAATAGGATTCTACCAAGTCTCCTATCTATCTACTCCAGGACTTCTGTGAGGATCAAATGAGATGAGGCATGGAAAAACGCTTCACAAACATCTGGTTAAACTGTAAAATGTTTGCACCTGGTTATAAAGCAAGTCTGTTTCCTGGGCTGAAGAAACTCTAAGGGTGCTAGTCGCTAGGGAGAGGAAGCTGGGCATTGCTATGTGACATCATTACCCAGCACCCACAGCCACTGTTTCTGGGCTGGGCTGGGCTGTGGGCCACATTTTGCACCGTGGGGTCTTGGCAGCATTGGCTGCGATTTGGTGAGGTGTCGCTCCAGGGTGGTGGTGGGGCCCGTGTCCCACTTGGGGGAAGCCAAGTGTTAGTTTGTCGGTGCCAGGTCTGTGGTGCCGTTTATTTTTAAATGGCCAGTGCACGTCATGGCAGCTCCTGTGTCAGGGGACGCATCTGCCTCCTGGTGGTCAGTGCGTGTCATAGCTACCAGTCAGATGGATGGACGCTTAGCCTTCTATATATATAGATTTTATGCTGGTATGTATTCACTAAATATCAGCCTTGGACATAATATGTGCCTTACTTATATGAATGTTATGAAGATGAAATTTAAATGTAATACGCAGAGCTGTTCTCAAATTTTAACTCACTACCACTAGTACTACCAGAGCTTAAAACAGAAAGAAGTCTTGCATTAGTAATTCTGTTTCATATTTTTGTCCTCTTGTTCATATTTTATTTATTTATTTAAAATATGTTTTATTAATTTCAGAGAGAGGAAGGGAGAGGGAGAGACAGAAACATCCATGATGAGAGAATCATCACTTGGCTGCCTCCCACATGCCCCCTACTGGGGATCGAGCCCACAACACTGGCATGTGCTGTGACTGAGAATCAAACCGTGACCTCGTGGTTCATGGGTTGATGCTCAGCCATGAGCCACACCGGCCGGGCCTCTTGTTCACATTTTAAATTTAGCATTCACAAATCATCAATGAATACACAGTTATTTTATTACGAACTAGGAGCTGGCTATGGCTGGCCTCTCTGTTGAGGACAGGGTGTCTGGAACCCTGTCTCCACTCTCTTCTGTTGCTCTGGCTGATGCAGGGAATGAGGTTGATGTTCCTGTGATGAACTTGTATTCTGTTTGGTGAGATGTTTTCCTGCACCCCTTAGAAGCAATTCTTAATTCGTTTCTTCAGTGTTGTAATTTGGTGCTTTTCCATGTTAACTGTTTTCTTTTGAATTGTCAGATTTATATTCTGCTGTTGAAAATTTACTCAAAGAAAAGGACCTAGAGAGTGCAGAAACATCACAATTTATTGCATTTAGAAGGTAAAACATTTGCAATATTTTAATGTCTTTAGCCTTTAAATCTTATTAATATAGATATTGTGTAAATGAGAGTCTCTCTCTTTTTTTTAATCCTCTCCGAGGACATGTTTTTATTGGCTTTAGAGAGAGAGGAAGGGAGAGGGAGAAAGACAAAAATCTTGATGTGAGAGAGAAACATTCATGTGTTGCCTCCCATACCTGCACTCTGACTGGGGATTGAACCGGCAACCTAGGTATGTGCCCTGACCGGGAATCAAACCCTCAGCCTTTTTGTGTATGGGATGAATACTCCACCCAATTGAGCCACACCAGCCAGGGCAGAATGAGAGTTGCTTCTAGTTCATCACTGTTTATTCTCTCTCTGATTTCAGGTATTTCTTTGTTAGACATGCAGAGGGCATTTTCTAAGCGGGGCTCTTTCTACCAAATATTATGTTTGGAAATTCACAGGATCTCTGACTGGGGCAAAGGTTTATGTTAAGATCAAATTTACAAAGTACTTTTTCCTGGAGAAAGTCCTGGAGACTTTTATTAGAATCCATTATGTCATATTGTTGGTAACAGAAACAAGCACAAAACGGTTCAGGTGACCTTTGCATTTTCATGTGTTTCAGGCAAGACTGTGATGTCATCAACGACTGCTGTTGCAAGCACTACACAGGCCTACGGCACAAGTGAGCACCGAAGAGCAGGGGCTTTGGGGACGGTCCTACCTTGACTCACTGTTCTTTTGTTTGTTTTGGCATTGATCACTGTAGCCACATATTTAAACATTACGTTTTTTTATTCATTTGTGAAGTAAGATGATCCCTTCAATTAAATATCATTATACCCTAGGAATTGACTTTTTGGTAGCCAGTGTAGTAAACAAGTCAAATTTTCTTTGTGGTTTCTAGGTTGGCAAACTCCAGCTTCTCCAAGATGAGCCTGGAGAATTCAGGAGAATTTTTCACATTCTAATATGTGCGTAGTGTGTCCAAGAACTGTAGCAGCAGGCTGCATGCAGAGAGCACCTTAGTGAGCATCGATCAGAGAAATATGAGTGGAGAAAAGCCATTCTATGAACACAGGAAAAATTAACTCATATCTGTTACATTTATCAATACCTTCTACTTATTAAGTGCAGAAAACTGAGAGATGTGTTAGTTGAGGGAATACACACACACACACACACACACACACACACACACACACACAGCACGTTAGGTAACCTACGAAAGGGTTAACAAGCACGAGATTGGGGGCATGTATTCTGGATTCCAGTGACTATGATCTTGGGCAGGTATGTGAAAGAGGGTACTTACACAGGATTTCCTCATAGAGCTGTAGTAAGGATAAATGAAATAATATGCCTAAAGCACTTATTGCAGTAACTGGCATATTGCCAGCATTTTTTCAATTTGCTGCTATTATTTTAATATGTTACAATTATTATCATAGAAATATGTATAAGTGTTGTAAGACCTGAAATAGGGTAGTGATAGGAGTAACTGCAGAAGAGAGGATGAATTTAAAAGGTGGAATCAGTAAGATATTTGGTAACTTTTTGAATAGAGAGGGAAAGAGAGACATCAACATTTATGCCAAGATTTCTAACAAAAATTTGGCTGGACAGTGGTCTTGAATTTGAGGTGGTGCATAAAGTTTATGTAATCAGGCCACACCTGTGGGAGTCTGATTCCTTGTTGAACTTTGGATAGTAAAAGTGGAGTAAAGAAAATACGGAAATTATTTTGAGCATCAGATTGGATCTGAGTAGGAGTTAATGCTTAAACAAAATGAAATTAAGGTTTTCCAAACTTAATATTGTCATTTTCTAACCCAGAGACCATAAGAATAGACTTATATTTGGAGTTGGCCATAAAATTTGTTGTACCAGGAATGCATATCTCTCGGATTTACTGCCTGAAAATAACTTCAACAGTCAGAAAAGTAATGAACTAGAAGATGGTATGCCTCATGGTGTTGCTAAAAATAAGCATGACTTTGAAAGTGGTATTCGACTCTGCAATGGAGAAATATTTTTCATAAGGCAGGTAAGTGATAATAGAAAAATTGTACCTTTTTACCTATTAGAGGCAGATTTTTTCTTTTTATTGCTCTATGATTGAATCAGAATCCCAAATGATGCTGGCTTTATAAAATGAAGGCTTTCATATATCTTTCTATCTATATATCTATATACAGTGTGTGTGTGTGTATTAATCCTTATCTGAGGACATGCTTGGAGGAACGGGGGGTGGGGAGGGGGAGAGAAGAGAGAGAAGCATCGATGTGAGAGGAAAACTTTGATGGGTTGCCTTCTGTAGGTACCCCAACCAGGTATGGAACCCACAACCCAGGCATGTGCCCTGAACAGGAATTGAACTGGCAAACCTTCAGTGCACAGGATGATGCCCAACCAACTGAGCCACTCTGGCTGGGTTCTTACATTTCCAAGAAGACTTTGTGAGAAACATTTTTAATAAGTTTGAAGTGCTTGAGTAACAAAATCAAAGGACAAATGACATATTTTACAAAGCATAATTTCCTTGGTTGCTGCTTAAATATAGAAACTATAAAAGTAGTCACCTTGAATTTGTTCTCATTGTGGAAACACTCTCTTAAACTAATAAGCTTATTCTTTAAAAGTAGTTTTGCAAAGAGTATATGCAGACTTATATAGTTAGTATAAGAAATAAAATGTTTAGACTTCAAAATAAGAAAGACAACATATACTTTTCCAGAAAGCTAAGTTTCAAGGACCAAAAATTTCCATTTGTGTTTATTAAAATATTTGTGTGTGTGTGTATTTAGTTTTTGCTCAAGCATTGGTTTTAAGCCTTTTGAAATTCTTAAAATTATACTGAATATACATGCTATTTTACTCATAAGGTGTTTGCATATGATATTCAATCCAACCATAGAATATCTTTGCAGCGTGCATATTTGAACACATACAAAATAGTTCTTTGTTTTGATGACAGGATATAACTGATGTAACTTTTGGAAAGAGAAGATATTTGACCATTGATAATATGGCTGGTTTGGAAGTAACTGTGGATTTTAAGAAACTAATGAAATTTTGTCGCATAAGACATGCATGGGCAAGAACCATTCACACTTTTCAGGTAAGAATCAGATTTATGAAGCTGTTTAAAATAGCTTGCCAAGCCATAGAATTCCTTGTATTATTTTCTTCCTAATTTTTATTGCTTTTATTTTTTTAAATTAGGAAACAAAATGTACAAAAGCACAGAAAATGCTATACACAAATGTAAACTTTCTACTCTTTTTTTCTTCAGAGTTGTCTTTCTGAGGAGCTAAGACATGCTAGCTAAAGCCTCATCCTCAGGCCTTCCCTTCCCACCAGGGGTAGAGGGTCAGGACCAGCAGGACTGAGTTTGCCTCTTGCGTCCATCTCCACTGTTATTGATCTTGTCTTTATTTAAAATTTTGATATTTTGTTCATCATGGATCTTTTTGCTTTAAATTTTGCTTTTTAAAGATATTATATTGCAATATTTATCTTGATTGCTGAGTTTCTTGGCATCCTCTTAAATTTTATGTCCTAAGCAAGTGCCTCACTTCTCCTACCCTTGTCCCATGCCTTCCTACCCCTGTCAGAAGTTGCTTCTGCTCTGAATTTGCCCATTCACACAGAAATAGTGTCACCAAGGTGTGCAAAATGGTATTCTAATGCTTATAGATTTTTGTGACTTGCTTATTTTTTTATGTAATCAACTATTATTGGGGTATAATTTGCATACATATTATAATTATAAAGTTGGATGAGTTTTGACAAATGTTTCCCCTTTCTCCACCCTTGTGAGGCAACCACTTTAAAAGAAAAATGTTTTTACTGATTTCAGAGAGAGGAAGGTAGAGGGAGAGAGAGATGGAAACTTCAGTGAGAGAGAAACATTGATCAGCTGCCTCCTGCACAACCCCTACTGGAGATCAAGCCCACAACCTGGGCATGTGCCCGGAACCCGTGACCTCTTATAGCATGCACTGACGCCCAACTAACAGAGCATCACCGGCTGAGGGAACTACTTTTTTTATTTTTTATAGAGAGGAAGGGAGAGGGATAGAGAGTTAGAAACATTGATCAGCTGCCTCCTGCACACCTCCCACTGGGGATGTACCTGCAACCAAGGTACATGCCCTTGACTGGAATCGAACCTGGGACCTTTCAGTCCGCAGGCTGACACTCTATCCACTGAGCCAAATCGTTTAGGGTGGGAACTACTTTTTATTTGGGAATAATTTTAGATTTACGAAAGAGTTGGGAAGATAGCACAGAGAGTTCCCATATACTCTTCACCAGTCTAACCTCGGACCACGTTACAGTTAGTGCAACTTACTTTTAAGCTCTACTTTAATGCTCTTAAATTTTCATAAGTTATTAGTGGCTCTGTTATTTATCTCATTGTTTTGAGCTCCCCTCTCTGAGATTGGCATGTTGTTTTAATGATGAAGTTTCCTCAGCTTCCATTTTTATGCAGAAAAATTTAGGTCAGCCTATATCCTCTACGAGTAGGCAGACACTAATTAGTGTAGGATTTTTATTTTTTAAGTGAATGGTGTCATACTTACCCCATCTCAGTTTCAAAAAGAATTTGAAATAGCTACAGATGTCCACAATTCAGCATGATGTTTAAAAAAAGATAAAGAAATGACATCAAGTGGAAAATAAAGGTAGGGATGGTGAAGGATTCCTGCCAGGAGTGGATTGGAATGCTTATACACACACCAACCTATTTGCTTGCTAATGCAGTAGATCCTGGGACAGAAAGAAGGCACAGCGAAAAAACTGGTGAAATCCAAACGAAGTATAGAGTTTAGTTAATAGCATTGCACCAATAGTAATTTCTTTTTGACAAATACCAAAATTATTTAAGATGTTAACTTAAGGCAGATTTGGCCTTAAATTCCCCCAAATAAGAGAGAAACAGTCAGTTGACTGTTTCTATTGGATAAAAACAACAACCATTTTTGAAGATGTGCAGTATTTGTGGCTGTGAGATCCTGGAGAAATTTCTTCCATGGTCTCTATACTTCTGAAAACTCATATCATTCAGTTCTAGGACATTTTCTTGAATAATTTCATTAAGATCTCATGTCCCGAGTTTCCTCTGTTTTGTCTTTCTAGAACAGTGGTTCTCAACCTTCCTAATGCCGCGACCTCATGTTGCAGTGACCCCCAATATAATTAAAGCATAGTGATTAATCACAAAAACAATATGTAATTATATATGTGTTTTCCAATGGTTTTAGGCAACCCCTGTGAAAGGGTCGTTCGTCCCCCAGAGGGGTTGCGACCCACGGGTTGAGAACCGCTGTTCTAGAACCTCAGTTATGTTGGACCTCCAGAAGTGGTTATCTCAGTTTCTTATCAATCCCTTTTATTTTCCATCTCATTATCATTTTGCTGTATTTTCTGAGATAAAGTAAACTACATATTATGTTAGAAGGTGGTAGATGCTATGGAAAAGGGGTGGGGTGCAGTTGTAATTTTATTTTATTATTATTATTTTTTCCTCACCTGAGGACATGCTTAGAAGTAGAGAGGGAGGGAGTGGGGGAGAAAGAGAAAAAAAGAAAATCAGTGTGGGAGAGAAAACTTTGATTAGTTGCCTTCCCTGTGTGCGCTGACCAGGGATTGAACCTGCAACCTGGGTATGAGCCCTAACCATGAATCAATCCAGCAATCTCACAGTGCATAGGACAGTGGTCCACCAACTGAGCCACTCTGGCCCGGCTGCAGTTGTAATTTTAAATTAGGTGGTCATAGGCCTCATTGAGAAGGTGGCATTGGAGTATAGACTTGAAAGAGGTAAAGAAGTTAACCATGTGGGTATCTGGGAGAACATTCTAGGTGGAGGGAAGAGCCAAGGTCAAGGTCCTTAGGTGGGAGCCTGTCTGGCATATTTGAAGAGTTGGAACAGACAGGAGGCCAGTGTGGGCGTGACAGGAGATGAGGTCAGAGAAGTAATGAGGGGGAGGGGGTTAGAAGGATAGGTCACATCCACGGGCCTTCTGGGACTGTGTATTAGTCAGTAGAGTAGCCAGATCTGGCTCTCCACCTGTTTTTGTAACTAAAGTTTCACGGGAACAGTCACATTAATTTATATGTTGGCTGTGACCGCTTTTGGACTATACAGGAAGAATTGAGTAGCTGCCATAGAAACCATCTATCTACAAAGCCTAAATATTTATTTTTTGACCCTTTACAGAAAAAGGTTTTTGGACCCAATGCTAAAGTCCATATAGACTTTCAGATTCTCAGTCTATAAAATAATGAAGGTTTAAATATTAATGGTTTGTGTCGATTCATACAAGTTGTAAGTTTTAGAACAAATTTAGAGAATAGATATGTATATAATTAAAAGTAAATGTACAAAGCGTGCCTCCCTAAGAAGTTAATAATAGTGTTAATAATTGAAAGAAGATTTAAAGAAATGGACATGTGGCTTATAGCAGGTGATTGAAGAAAAGCTAGGAGTCCTTGTCCTGCCTTCTGAGCCCACCTTTGGCAAGATGTTGTAATTTTTATCATCATTCACTCAGTGAGACACAGAATAAAGAACAGTGAGCAGAATAGAAGTGGTCCCACCTTCACAGAGCTCACAGTCCACTGAGGAATACAGTTACGAAGGTATCTCCCAGGCTAAGAATTCTGTGGTAGAGGAAGTATAGTGTGCTGGAAAGTATAGGGACGGGGCAGGAAGTGAGCCCAATGGGCTGAATGCACTGGCAGAAACACGGAGCGTTTCCTTGCGCTAGAGGCAGCATGGCTCATGGGAATGGAAAGGGGAAAGGAGGGAGGGGAGCAGGGCCGAGGCTGGCTCTTGAAGGGCCATATGAGCCATATTAAGGAGAGACTTTGAGATCCTGGAAGCCATTATTTTTTTTTTTTTAATTTATCTTCGTTGAAAGTATTACAGATGGCCCTAGCTGGTTTGGCTCAGTGGATAGAGCGTTGGCCTGAGGACTGAAGGGTCCTAGGTTCGATTCCGGTCAAGGGCACATGCCCAGGTTGTGGGCTCGATCCCCGTGCAGGAGGCAGCCGATCGATGATTCTCTCTCATCATTGATGTTTCTATCTCTCTCCCCCTCTCCCTTTCTCTCTGAAATCAATAAAAACATATTAAAAAAAAATAGAAAGTATTACAGATGTTCCCCTTTTTCCCCCATTGACCCTCCTCTCACCCCTTCCCACTTTCTCAGGCCTTCACCACACTATTGTCTGTGCCTTATGGGTTATGCATATCTATAATAATAAAAGTGTAATATGCTAATTAGACGGGACATCCTTCCGGATTCCAGACGAAGCTGTGAGGGCTGAGGCAGCTGCCGCGGTTGCCTTGGGCCGGGGCTGCTAGGGCCAAGCCCCTTGCATGAATTTCGTGCATTGGGCCTCTAGTATGCATATAAGTTCTTTGGTTAATCTCCGCCCCCCCCCCCCTTACCTCCCCCTTTCCTCTGAGATTCGACAGTCTGTTCCATGTTTCCATATCTCTGGATCTATTTTGTTTGTCAGTTTATTTTGTCATTAGATTTCACATGTAAATGAGATGATGTGTTACTTGTCTTTCTCTGACTGACTTATTTCACTTAGCATAATACTCTCCAGGTTCCTCCATGCTGTATCAAAGGGTAAGAGGTCCCTCTTTTTTACTGCTGCATAGTATTCCATGGTGTAAATGTACCACAGCTTTTTTATCCACTCATCTACCAATGGACACTTGGGCTGTTTCCAGATTTTAGCTATTGTAAATAGCGCTTCTCTGAACATAGGGGTGTATACATTCTTTCTGATTGGTGTTTTGGGTTTCCTAGGATATATTTCTAGAAGTGGGATCACTGGGTCAAATGGCAGTTCCATATTTAATTTTTTGAGGAAACTCCATACCTTTTTCCATAGTGGCTATACAAATCTGCATTCCCACCAGCAGTATACTAGGGTTCCCTTTTCTCTACAACCTTGCCAGCACTTGTCATTTGCTGATTCGTTGATGGTAGCCATTCTGGCAGGTGTGAGGAGATTCCTCATTGTCATTTTAATTTGCATCTCTCTGATGGTCAGTGACTTTGAGCATGTTTTCATATGTCTCTTGGCCCTCTGTATGTCCACTTTGAAGAAGTGTCTTTTTAGGTCCTTTGCCCATTTTTTAATTGGATCGTTTGTCTTTTTTTTGTTAAGTTGTGTGAGCTCTTTATGTATTTTGGAAACTAACCCCTTATCAGATGGATCATTGGCAGGTATGTTCTCCCGTACAGTGGGATCCCTTACAAAATAAAAAGAGTCATTAATGCGTTTTAAGCAGAGTCTCTGTTGATTGAATTTGCATTTTACAAGTATCACTGTAGCTGCCTTGAGGGCAGCGGAATGTAGCAAGTGTGAGTCCAGGGAAACTGATTGAGGCTTTGGGATTTTTCTCATGTTACTTAAATGATGAGTAAGAACTCAGCTCAGTTTAGGTAGACATTTACCTGTTTGGGAATACACAGTGTAAAGTCCAGAGGAGCAGTGGTGCTGTGTATCTGTTGAATGTATTTAGCATTTCTCTAATCAAGTATCATTTAAGACAGTTTCTGAGACCGAGCAGCACTGGAAGGTAGCATTTGTCAGACTTTTATCATCTGAAGAGTTAGTTCAAACTCCTGGTGTCTACGGAGATAGAAGTGCTTTCTGTGCAGAAGGTTGTTTTTTGTTTTAACTGCAGATCTGTATTTTCCATGTGCCCATCTAGTCATTTGTCTCCCCACAATTCTTCTTTTGGCAGGGGAATGTGGGAACATTAGGGGAGATAATGGTTCAAACCACTTCTTAGTTCATGTTGGCACAGAAAATATAGGGGCTAAGAATAGCTACAAAACGATGCTTTTCTCAGTTAATGGTGACATCCGGCATTTTTCTTGCCTGTACCATTCTTGGCTTGCTAAACTTTTGTTTATCTTGAAAAAAGTAATGAATGGTTCAACAATGGGAAAATACAGAAAAGTAGGACAAAAAAATGATCCATAGGCCTTTCATTTTGGAGACAGTCTAGTTATAATTTTGATAGAATTGCCTTCCTTTTTTGTGATTTATTTTGTTTTGTCACATATTTATGTTTATTTTATAGGTACTTTTTTGGATCAGAGTAATTTTATTTTGTGTTACATAGTTGTAATCATATATATAGTCAATTTTTAAAGTTATATTTTTAAAGTATCTGATGTTTGCAATGTAGTATATCATGTATCTATATGTAGATACTTGATATAAATATATATAAGTAAATATAGTATATATATTCGACTACTGGATTTTTAAGATGTCTGTCTTTTGTAATATAAAGTAAGAGTGGGATAATACATTTATACACAAGCTCATACAACCATTTTATTTTATTTTATTTTATTTTAAATATATTTTTTATTGATTTTTTTACAGAGAGGAAGGGAGAGGGATAGAGAGTTAGAAACATTGATGAGAGAGAAACATCGATCAGCTGCCTCCTGCACACTCCCCACTGGGGATGTGCCCGCAACCCAGGTACATGCCCTTGACCAGAATCGAACCTGGGACCCTTCAGTCCGCAGGTCGACGCTCTATCCACTGAGCCAAACCAGTCAGGGCAATCATTTTAAATTATTCCATTATTTGGCGCTGCACACAGACTTTAAAGTTTATTTCTGGGTTTCTACAAGCCAGCTGTGGATCCGTGAGACCTAAAGTTCGCAGCATAATCCGAAAACGCAAGTGCTTGGGGAATGGGGGGGCTGGGCCCCATCCCTATGAACAGCCCGGCAGGTAGTCGGTGCTGGGCGCACTTGTCTCCTCTGCCTCTGGGGGCTGAAGACACGAGCCTGTGCGCAGTACTAAGTCCCCGGTGCGTTCTTCCCTGTCAGGGGTCCGAGGAGCAGACCGTCGTCTACGCGGTGGGCAAGGCGGGCCGCCAGGACTGGCAGCACGTGTACACGGCGGTGACCCGCGGCCGCAGCAGAGTGTACGTCATTGCAGAAGAGGCTCATCTCCGGAGCGCCATTTCCAGGAACAACGTCCGCAGAAAAACTCGTTTAAAACATTTTCTGCAAGACCAGCTCTCCTCAAGCCCTGCGTCTCCGCCGGAGGGTGCGTCCCCGTCCAAGGGCCCCGAGGACAGCAGAGGCGCCAGCACACCGCCGCCAGCATCCCCGTTCCCTGCAGCCGCCGCTGACTCGGCGACCGGTGATGGCCAGGCCTCTGCGGCTGCGTTCGAGGCATTCGCCTGCCCTGTCGGCTGGAGAGGACCTTTCCCTGGTGAAGTGAATGCAGGCGGAGATCCATCCCAACCGCGAGGGTCCAAAAGAACCTGTGCCATGGCTGGTGAAAGTCCCAGCAAAGTCCGCATGGTAGGAGTGATGTTCTCACGCGCTTGGCTTTACCTAAATGCCGCTCCCGCGGTTGCTGATGTTGCCGGGGCGCCTGCGTTTCTGTCCGTGTGGCGTTGGCTGTAGGACTGAAACAGCGTTTTCTCGCGTCTGTTACGTCCTCTCTGCTGCCCCGCTGGTCCTGGGGTTTCTCCCTCCGCACGAGGCTGGCATGCCAGGCGGCCTCGGCGATGGGCTTGCAGGAGAGGCTGCTGTGTCTGCTGCACCTTCTTTCTGCAGATCCTTCTCACCCTCCCCTCCCTGTTGTAGGCCTAGTCTCGCTTGTCTCCTCACAGCTCCATGGAAGCGGCTGGTTCCAGTCACCTGTCAACCCGAGAGGCCTGTCCCTAGGTCTTGTTCTTGACTGTTTCCCTGACATTTCTAGTAGTTTCACACGCTGCCGCAGTTTCAGTGGTGCCTGATCTCACACCTCCCCCACCTCTGTCTCATCACCCCCTCACCTCTTCGCTCCCCCTCTTGTGTCTTATCTTCCCTCCCTCTGATGGGCACACCTCTCCGGGCTCAGTTCTTCTTCCCTTTGAGGACCCTTTCCACTCTCTAGGTTTCAGCTGTCACCTTTGCACTGATGATGTGTCAACCAGTAGTCTCAACTGTCCACTGCATTCCCGGTGTGGGGGACTCAGTGGTAAGTGACAGTCCCCACTCTCGCACTGCTGGCCTCGGGTGGGGACAAAGGCTGTGCTTCCCCGAATGCTCTTCACACTGAAGAGGATGGACAACCCGGCTCCCCAGGCTGCACCTTTGTTCCTGGGATTGACTTTCTGGGACCACGGCCCAGCATCTGACTCTTTTTTTCTACTTTCTCCACTTCAAACAGCATTCTCCCTATTACACAAGCCGGACTCACCTTGCCTTCGCCCTCTGCCTCCAGCTGATAGATTTATTGCAGAATGTAGCTCTCAGGAATTTCTTTCATTCTATGAAGTCTGGGCAATTTTAGAGCCTTACTTCATTTTTTTGGATGATTGCTGACCCGCTGCCTTCCCCCCTCACTCCCATCCTCCTAGAACACTCTGCACCTCGTTACCAAATTCACCCCCTTAAGTGCTCAGCTCTTTCCTGTGTTAAAAGCCTTCAACTGAAGTTCCAGACTGTCTAGCTTGGCATTTGAAACCTTGCACAGTTTGACTCCAGCTCTCGGCATCATTTTATTTCCCACTGCTCTATTCCTGCGTTAGTCCAGCTAGTCCTCATTCACTGAAATGAACCGAACTTACTCTCATTTCTTCCTTTTGGCTTTTGCTGTGCGACTTGGTTTGGATGCCTTATTCTCTCTGCCTGCCCTCGTTTATTTAGCATTTGATGGAAGTTTGGATCCTCTTCTGGTCGCTGACCTAAATGTGGAGGGCGTAAAACAGCCCCCTCTCTGACTTTGTTGACATTATAGTCTACCAGAGGGTCATAGGCAGAAAATACAAGAGAAATAAAAAGTTCAGGTCAAGAAAGATTCTATGATGAAAAGAAAGGTAATGAGGTAGGGAATGGTGGGAGCCGGGGCGGAGGAGGGCGGCAGGAGGTGCTACTTTGCCACGGGAGTCAGGTAAGGCCTTACTGAGGAGAGCACATGTGAGCTGACCAACCAACAGCCCCGTAAGGCTCAGAGAAGTGCCTCCAGGTGGAGGATACAGAAGAGGCAAAGCCTGAAGAGGGAACGGCCTTGTTGGAAGGGAAGCGGCTGATGTGCCAGTGGGTGAGGAAGAGGGTGTGTAGGTGGCGATGCTGGAGAGATGGCGGGGCCGTGGTAGGGAGGTGGGGATGCGCTGGAGCTTTAGCACAGGGGTGACCCTCTGTGTGCTTACAGTCAGCCCGTGTGTTGCTGTGGAGAGTGAACTGTGGAAAGTGCGGTGGGAGCAGGGAGGCCAGTCAGAAGGCTGTCGTAGGGAAGGTGTAGGGAGGAGCGGGGAGGTGATGAGAAGCGGAGAGATGCTGGATGCATTCTGCAGATGGAGTCAACATGACCTGCTGACTAGATGTGAGGGGGTAAAACAAAACGTTATCCAGGCTGGTTTCTGGGTTTCTGGTTGAAGGAACTTGGTGAGTGGCAGGGCCGCTTCCTGGGATGGCAAGGCCTTGAAAAGAGCCGGGTAAGGTGGACTCACTGAGGAAGCCAGTGGTGGTGGTGGTGGGGGGAGGGTTAGGGCCTCAGGGTGGATTGGGGTGCGCAGTGGTGGGTGGTGGGGGAGTTAGGACCTCAAAGAGGATTGGGATGCGCAGTGGTGGGTGGGGGAGTTAGGGCCTCAGGGTGGATTGGGGTGTGCAGTGGTGGTGGGGAGTTAGGGCCTCAGGGTGGATTGAGGTGCGCAGTGGTGGGTGGTGGGAGAGTTAGGACCTCAAAGAGGATTGGGATGTGCAGTGGTGGGTGGGGGAGTTAGGGCCTCAGGGTGGATTGGGGTGGGCAGTGGTGGTGGGGAGTTAGGGCCTCAGGGTGGATTGGGGTGCGCAGTGGTGGGTGGTGGGGGAGTTAGGACCTCAAAGAGGATTGGGGTGCGCAGTGGTGGGTGGGGGAGTTAGGGCCTCAGGGTGGATTGGGGTGGGCAGTGTCCATGTGGGAGTCATTTGCATGAAGTGGTACTTAAAGGACTAGGAGAGTTAATTTCAGGAGAGACCACAGACAGGTCTGGCAGAGGAGGAAGAACTAGCAAGGGGCCTGGAAAGGTATGAGGGAGGGAGAAGGAAAAGCGGGGTGGTGGGAGGGACTAGGAGGTGGGCGCGTGGGGGAAGCCGTGGGGCAGCGTTTCTGAGGAGAGAGGGCTGTGCAGCAGAGAGAGGGTTGTGTCTGGGTGGACGCCCTGTGGTCGGGGAGCACGTCTTTATTTTGGAGGGCGCATCAAGGCATCCTAGGGTGTTGCTGGCACGGTCCAATGGAGAACAAGGAATTCATGATTCAGAGACGGGCAATTGCAGGAATGGTGTCCGGAGGTGGGTCAGATGGGAAAAATCACGAGTGTGCTAGGTGTTGCCTTTAGATGCAGTCGGGGACAGGGACGCTTCTTCCACTGCAGCCGGGTGGAGCGGGCGCGGTGTGTTGCTGGGTAGAGTGGAGGGCGGTGTTCTCAGCTGATGACCTCTGCCTCTCTTCATAGTGGAATTGAGCTCAGTTTCTGTTTTGTTCATGAAACCTGCCCTTTCTCCGAACCAGCACGCTCTCCTGTGTACAGCACGTGCAGCCAGTTTGACTTATTGAGGGCAGCATGCCGATCCCACGGGAATAGCTCAGAAGTACTTGGTGGTTGTACGAGGAGTTGTGAGTATGTGGCATTCCGACCTTTAAATAAACCGGGCCCTCAGAGTCTGGTTCTTTCATGTGCTCAAGTCCTACGTGTTCTGTAGCCCCCGCTGTGCGAGTTCCTTTGAGAATCCCTTTCAGAGGCAAGAAAAGACCCTTTTGAATGTGTATTATAAGGGAAGCAAATGTCTACTGGGACCTATTTTTGTTTTTAGAAATAACCCAGTCCCATAGTTTTATGAATCAGATGATCCAATTTGGATAATAGCATTTTGTGGGGAAAAAAAAAAAAAGGTGGATTATGAATTATCTGGGTGGGTAAGTTGCTTTCTGTGCCAGCAGCAGACTTGCTGGGGCGAGGCTCAGGCGCCCAGGGCTGAGCCGTAAAGCCGGGGTGGAGCGGGCCACTGTGGGAGCCCAGGGGAGCAAGTGCCCACAGAACCCACCTCTCCTAGGCCAAGTTCTGGGGAGAAACGTCCACAGACCCCACAAGGGTACACAACAGTTAAGCAGTTCACTGGGCGTGTGCCCGGCAGAGGGTCCAGTTGGGAAGGACTGGCACATTAGGCAACGCCAGTCTAGAACAGTGGCTGGAGCAGGGCATGTAGGGCAGGGCGGGCTGAGCTGAGGACACTGGGAGGGGGAGAGGGCTCCTCTACAGAGAGTACATCCGCTGCAGCCATGGAGAGCCCGGAGCGTTGGAAATCTGTGGATTGACATTTATGGAGGTGACTCTGACTGGAGTTTAGTAGATGATGGTTAGGCAGAGGCTAGGGGCTGAGTTCCCAGCAAAAAGATGCTTTGAGTAGCTTGTACAAAATGATTACACCCTAAGTCAGGTGGTGGCAGCTGGGGTGGAGAAGAGACACTGAGGGGTACAGTCGATGGGACTTACTGGTCAGTTACTTACATAAGGGGGTCAGTCCTGAAGGTGACTCCAGGCTTCTGGCTTGGGCGTCCAGATGGGTCCAGGTACCGTCCGTCAGGACTGGGCACAGAGGCTGAGGGACAGGTCTCGTGGGGAAAGTGATGCAGTTGGACATAGTGGGGAGGAAAAGTTTCTTGTTTTTCTTCTTAGTAGCAGCAGGCCCACTGCTGACTCTCAGCTTCTGCCTGTACTCCATGGGATGTGGACTTTCCATCTCAGCAAAGCATCTCTTTTTCTGAAATGAAGTGTGTTAACTCTTAGCAAGACCATGGGGTAAGGAAGGCTCTGACCGGAGCAGAAAGCGAGGCAGCTCCAGGGAAAGGATCTTTTTCTGAAAGTGCCTGGCGATGTATTTCTCAGCAGGAACATGGTGCATGGCTGTGGTTTCTGTGGGGGTGCCGGGGAAGGTGGCAGCGCGATCCCTCTTCAGCTCGGAGCTGCCTCCGGCTGAGGCCGGCATCGCAGAAGACCTGTGAGCAGAGTGACGGCCCAGTGCCGGCTGATGCCGCGGCAGGAGGGCAGCCGCGCAGCCACGCGCTCCAGCTGTGGATTCCTTACAGGGTTTGCCGTAAGCATGTGGCATTGACAAGAATCCCTGGAAACGTGGACTAGGATTGAAAGCTTCAGGGCTGGTGAATTAGGAACCTCTGGGTTTTCATGACTGTAGGCTTTTCGGTGCACTGAGATGTGTAACGGGTCGGATGCAGTGCCAAGGGCTGCCACCCCCTTGCTTTGCACTCATACTGCTGCACGGGAGCCCACCAGCATGTGATTCCTACAGATGCCGATGCCGGGCCCTCTGAGGTGGCAGCGTGTGCTTTTCCATGGACTCATAGCTTTGGCTTTTGGAAAACATCCTAAAAGGAAATGTTAACCTGATTTTTTTCTTTGTCTAGCTTCCCCCCACCAAGAAAAAGGGGGGGGGGGGAGATAGAAATCTCCCTTTAAATGAAAACATGTGTGCAAACATTCTCAAATTTATCACATAAAACAGCGATTTCCAGATTTTTTGAAGGAAAATGACATTTTAAATTTAAAAATCTAGGAAAGACATAATCACATAATTCCTGAAAAAAAGGTAGTCCTTGTATTAGGATTCTCTAGAGAAAGAGAGCCAATAGATATGTCTCTATCTGTCTGTCTATATATCTATCTGGATTTATTTTAAGGAATTGGCTCATGCCATTGTAGAGGCTGGCAAGTTCAAAATCTACAAGGTAGACCAGGAGCCCAGAGAAGGCTTGTTGGCAGCTGGGGAGAGGCCAGTGTTTTCTCTGTCAAGGCCTTCAGTTGATTGAAGGCCCATCTAGTCATGGAGGGCAATCTACTTTACTCACAGTCTACTGATTTAGATGTTAATCTCACCTAAAAATTACCTTCACAGAAACACCTAGAAATACATTTGACAAAGTAAATATCTAGGTACCATGGCCTGGCCAAGTTAACACAGAATGAGCGTGCCTGTGACCACACTGGGCCATTGACTTTAGCTTGGGGATCACTGACTGTACCAAGAAGGTGCCAGTGGAATGGCAGTGTTCCATCTCGCCGCACATAGGGCCGTGCAGCTTAGGCAGTCAGTCACCCAGGCCTTTGTGCTTAGAAGGATCCCGCTCTCGTTATCATGTTCTGCAGGTATCATCTTGAAATTCTTAATTTCTGAACATGGGACCCTCGTTTTAATTTTGTACCAAGTTGTCAAAATATATAGTGGGCCCTGTCCACACCTTTGGAAGCTAGGTATATGGACTCATTCAGCAAATAGTCCCTTCGCCATGCCAGTGCCAGAGCTGGGGCTGGGGTACCGCAGCGAGCAAAGGCAGACGTGAGCCCACAGGAAGGAGCGGGCCCTGCTTGCTCTGGTCTGCGTCTTCCCAGCGATGGGGGAACGTGTTCTTCCGCAGAAGCAGTCAGGGGGAAAAGAAGTGCAGAGGGCAGACTGACTACACTTTTACAAAACTAACCTTTTTCTTTTCTTTTCCCCAACAGATGGAAGAATCATCTCCACAAGTGTCTTCCAGACTTCAGAATTTGAAACTAAATAATTTAACCCCCAGGCGACTTTTCAAACCCGCAGATAATCAAGAAACTTAATTTTATTTCAGATTGCTCATAATCATTTGTCTATTTTTTTTCCATTCAACACAAAATGAACATCATCACTTCAATGTATCAAGATAAAAGAGGATGTCTATAACCGGAGTTCTCTTTTAAGGCGTTTGTGCTAGCAGGTGCTTTAAATTCATTTGATCAAAGAAAACCTTAATGATTTCAGTACCTGTCATCACGAGAACTGATAGCACTGGACATGAATGAGGGAAAATGATGTCATATATATTTTTAAAACTCTGTACTTTCAAAAGTGTTTTATTTTAGGATAATGCCTTATTGACTTCCACGATCATTGTGCGTGATCCTCGCCCACGGGATGAAGCATTCGTATAGATACATGGCAGCTGCATCTTACCGCCCCAATTCCAGGACGGCGTGTCTGCCCCAAAGTGGTCGCCCCTCCAGGCTGCCCTTTGCTCCGTCACTGCGCTGGCTCCGCTGCACCGGGGCTTCCTCCTGGAAACCCCTTTTGAGTTGGGAGCACACTGGTTTTTATTTTCTTAATTTGAGATACAGTGGATGTGTAGCATGGTCTAAGCTTAAGGTGTTCAATGTGTTGATTTGATACTTACATTTTGCAATATGATTACCACGATAGCATTAACTAACACCTCTATCATGTCACATAATTATCATTTTTGGGAGGAGCACATTGTTTTGAAGACACTCTACTTTGGAAAAAATTTTTCTCAGTGATTTTTCTTTTTCTAGAGTTTTATTTATTGTTAAATAGTAAAATGAATAGTTAAGATTTACGTATTATCCCAGTGTTTTAAAAATAGCCTTATTGAGATAAAAATCACCTACAAATCACCCACTTACAGAGTTGAGTGGCTGTTAGTATATTTGCAGTTG